TTTTTGGTATGGGGGATTGAACTTGGGTCCTTGTGCTTGTGATGCAGGCACTGGAACCACTGAGCTAAATCCCTGGCCCCTCTTTGACTTTTTTAATGCTTAAAAAACTGGAAGCATCTACCAAAATTTAAATTTCTGGCCTTAATCAGAAAATCCTGTGACAAAGGACCCATATTCCTTATTGGCAACAGCTGGCCAACCTCTATTTATAAAGTCTCTCTCAATGTGTAACACACCTGCCGTGTTCTGCCTGGAGTTCACAGATGGGCAGGAGGAGCAGCTCAGTGACAACATGTGCTTAGCCTGTGCCTTGAGACCCTCGCATTAAGCCCCAGTATCGCCACAGGAAAAAAGATGGGTTGTCCAAAACAAATCTGGCTTGCAGACCAAATGGACTGCTTCTGGAGGCTGCTTGCCATTGGCCAAGAGCCGGAAGCACTGTCTGCTTCCCCAGCACGGGTGCAGTATTGGGCAGATTGCTCTGAGAACTCTTACACTGTCACTAAGAAAGCACATTATCTTACAGGTTTTGTTCATATTTGCTAATCTTTAACACATCAGCTCGTGGGTGTTTGGATGTCTAAATATTTATGAAAGCTCATAATCAGGTAGCATATGCTGTGCACATCCTGCCTTGAGTTTTTTCAAGGAACTCATTTCTGAGAATCAAGTCATTTAGCAAGAATAGATTTTTGGTTGCTTTTTAAAATTGTTGGTATGTGTTTGCAATACATGACAATTACATTCATCTTCATCCCGTGATTAATCTTGGTATTAGTAAAGCATTACTTTGTTAAATTGGATGGTGATTTTATAGAGTTTAGCAAATGCTTTATTTCACAGCCCACTAATATTATGCAAATAGTGTGTGTCCCACCAGTGTAATCCCACATTGGTTTCTGACATCTCCAGGAGGCTGTGCTTTTCCCTGGCTCCTGCCCCTGCCCCAAGGGAAGTGTGGGTAACAAAACAATGTTAGAGTGATAGAGATTTAAGATCAATGACAGAGATTCTCTGGTTTATTAATTATGTTTCACAGGCTGTTTGGTTATTATAAAAAAATGAAAAACATGTCACACCTACAAATATGACCGTTAAGGGCCGGGGATTTAGCTCAGTGGTTCTGCTGCCTGCCTTGCAAGAGCAAGAACCCGAGTTCAATCTCCAGTACCAAAAAACACAAAACAAATATGAACATTAAAATATAGTTAGAGCCGGGCGTGGTGGCGCATGCCTGTAATCCCAGCACTCGGGAGACTGAGGCAGGAGGATCACTGTGAGTTCAAGACCAGCCTGGGCTACATAGTGAGTTCCAGGTCAGTCTCAACTATATAGTGAGACCCTGT